TTTCTTTGGCGAGAATTGCACACGTAATGTCATGTTGAATATTATGCCTTCCAGCTAAAGCATTAGGCAACTCGTGAGTTCCTATGTCTCGGCCAGCCGTATGATCATACAGACAACCCCGCAAATACTCGAGTCCGAGGAAAGTACCTTATTACCTAACTTAGTAACTTAACTTAACACTTCGGCTTGGCTGGGCTTAACTTAACTTAACTTTTCCCACGCTTGACGCCCTTAGCTTATTCAAACTCCGCCCACACGGCTACGACTCCCTTTCTAAAACCACTTGCCTGTGCCTGCTTGAGGCTTCAGACATCCCACATGAGCTGTTGTATGCATTATATACATACAATGTAGTCGGAAATCCGGCCATCCATAAACAACCCGTGATCACACGACTTGAGACTCAAGATTTTTTTTTTTTTTTGAGGTGTGTTTGTTATGACCATTGGCAACTAACAATTGGTTAGCCCCGCTGGTCCGCAAAGCTGGTAGGGGACATGTGACCCTACTCCAAAGGCAGGAATGCATTTACTGCACGAACGGCAGATGCCGAACAGTGTGGGACTCAACCTAAATTAGGTAATACCCACTAGAACCCTCCTAGTGACGGCTTAGCCGGGGTTCGAACCCTCGATCTTAGCGAGGACCGGCAATCTCCGATTTACTCAGAGATTAGGAGCGCTGGTTACCTGATACACCATGCAGCCCCTGAGAGGAGAGAGAGAGAGACTCAAGATGTGACCATTGAAGAAAGACAGAAGAAATTCAGATGCAAAGGTTATTATCCAATTGGACCCTATGACCCCCTCAAACATTGGTGCTTATCCTCATCATCCTCTGACTGCATAGATGGGACGGCGGGGACTCCAACAAATTTATTCGGTCGGTCTATATTTGGTTGCATGTGTAAAGCATGGTCTGTGGAGGATAATATCTCTTTAAATTGAACTGCCACCCGAGATATAGAGTTTATGTCCACAAGAAATCTTGCCACCAAACTATTAAAGTTGGGAGCCAACCTCGGATAGTATCAGCCGTGCAAGGCACAACAAGAGCAACAATGTCCTTACAAGGCTATTGCACATGCCAGACAATCCTCGTATCCTGAATTCATTTACTACAGTGCCAAATTGATCCCCCATCCCACATATCCATCCATTAACAGCCTCACAATCCACGGATGGACTCGGGGATGTCTCGCAGGCCGAACAAATTGAGTTCATGGACAACTCACGGGCCTACACTGATGCTTTGAACTTCAATTGTATCTGTGGGATACCAATTCAAGTCAAGGCTGTTCAATCTAAGTCCTTCAGACATTGAAGACCAAGGCACAGACCACATTGTCAACTTTCAAAGCCCATCCCGCAACCGTCTCGTCAATGTCCAGGTCTCCAACATGGTCCAGATATATTTCCACTGACCTTGCCCCCGGTGTGTGTTCACTTTGCTTACTGAAACTTACAGTAACTTGCTACTGAACTTGACTTAGCAGTACTTAAGCTAACTTGGCCCGCCAAGTTCCATCAGGGAAAGTAACTTATACGATCAGATGGACCTGATTGCATCAGGTACCGGCCAAGTTTGATTTGTCATCCAAGTAAACGGCCAAGTTTTCACTTCTCGTTCAAAAGGTGGCTGCCACCAGAGACCGCCGTTAATCATTCTGATATTCTAGATGGGTATTTTTACCCTACTTTCACGTTTCTTTGGCTGCGCGAGTTCTCGTACTCCACCACAATGTTTGAGGCTCCCTCGCACTCAACTCCATGTGGCGGGGATTTCTTTGGGTGATAAATCATCCGCATGTTTCCGCTTCAACGTTCCTGAAGACTTTGTGTGGATTGGTACCTAATGGACATCAGCTTGGCAGGGTAGCGGTCCTCGGAAGGGCTTCGTACCGGGGTTCTGGTAATATATTCCGGGGTGCTGTGGGTTTTGAAAGTGCATAGGGTGCTGAGGGTGTACGAAGGCTTTCTGTGCGTAATCCGATTGAGCTGATATCATTTGCTGCTCGTCCCCTCGCGCGTCTTGGCGGGGAACGCGGGACAGCACATCTGTAAATACTTTCGAGGCCGTTTTTGGGGAGGTGGGTCGGGGGCGGGTCAAGTCCAAGGGAACAAGAACTGTGAAATGGTGTTCAGCATGGCGGAGGAGCGTGTGAGTCACGTTGAAGTGGATCACAGTGAAAAAAAAGTTGAAAAGATCTGTGCCACCACGTGGACGTTCGCTAAGCGTCGGCAGAACTCGAGAAACACTCGAATTTGACTGTAACTTGCCCGCGAGAGATGAAACAGGCGAAATTGACTACAATACTGTGCTATATACTCCCTGTCTGTTACCCATACCTGGCAGTGGATTGAATGTCTATATAAAACACTCGTAGGATACTTGGACCGACCGTACAGGACGCAGAACGGCGCAAAGGGTGGCTATTCGAAACAAAGTTAGCATACCTTAATCCAACTTGAAGTTACTTAAATGCACTTAACTTGTACTTTCACTTTACTTAACTTGTGAAATCAACTTGCCCTGCCATAAGTTCGGCTAAGTTAACTTTGGCAGGCTAAGTTAGTTTACATAAGTAACTTAGTAAGGCATCGTAAATACTCAGCTATTACGGCCGGGTCTGACTCATCTCGATTAACTCCCCACTGTCGGATAAACCCTGTTCGGGTTATAACGGCTTGAGCAGGATTACCGGCTTGTCAAGGATTATGACACATTATGAGCCACTGGCAGAGCGGCTGATAAGTCATCTCAAGCCGTCGTAGGGCGGATAATGTCCATATGGGCTTGCAAGCAGTTGTGGCGAACCCTAGACCGGAAATCACCAAATTGAAATGCAGTGGAAGAATTTATTTGCGAGACGTCACTTGCTCGACATGGCAATCTACTACCTCAGTATCGATACCTCGCGCAGTCTCATCATGCTAAGGCTCAACTCGGAACATCTACAAATTTGGGCTCGGATGCTTAACAAGCCATCGCCAATTCCAAATGTCGAGGCACCAGATGGATTCTGTCATGCTGCACATGATTTGAGAGAGATTTGCCTGATTAAGTTGGCTTCAACTGAGCCTTAGCCTTGGGACAGTGGCATGACCATATGTGCCACTCACCCAAAATAGTTTGCTGGCGAACAATGGCTCGGCACCGGGCACGTGTATATAAATCATCAGCACATCCGTTGCCACCGCTTGCCTCCCTCTCCCATCCCCCCTCCATTCCTCCTTCTTGCCTTCCCCGCCACTGACTCCTCGTCAACGCTGTCACGCACCAAGCTTTCAGTGCTGCTGTGCATGACTCACATGCTAGCCACCAAGATCATGGATGATCTCAAGCCTGTTGAAACATCGGCCCGCCACTTCAGTGTTCCCAAGTTCATTAGCATTGACCTGAGACCGGAACTATCTCAGGCTTGATGTGCCCGTTCTCTAAGATGTGTGGCAAGGCGACTCCTCCGGCTAGTACTAACGGTGCGCAACTCAATGATCAATCGACTCCTCACCGCAAACTTGAAGACTACAAATACTAGGCGGGAGACGAGGGGTTCGCCACGGCATGGGTCTTGTGAAGGGCAGTCTTGGGGCAGCGAAACTATCTGGGGGCAATAATTAGGCTCAAACCAACGACAATTGGCGAACATTGGGTCAATTCGGGGGATCAGGTCATCGCGCGCCAACTGCGTCAAGCATAGTGATCACCATGGGTGGGGTCACCCGTGGCAGGTTGTGGATACAGGCAGGCACGGGGACGGGTATGGGTACGGGTGCATCTTTTATCACCTGCCTTGACCCGTATGACCGCCCCCGACCTGCCGCCTCAGGGGGGTCAAATTAAATATAATATATTAAACTTGATCAAAACATGCCTCGTTCTTCGGACCGATGTTGTGTGAGAATTGATGCCATGTCAGCTATGTGAGTTCGATTCCACCATTGTCATCCTGTGTGACCCCATAGACACACCAAGTGTTGCTTTTGGGTGAATGTGGCCCAGCCGTTTGGCTAAATGACCTCAGTGGATTTCAGGGGGCCCTGTCAGAAATCCATCTATGTCATGAATCATTCTGTTTCCATCTTCCACCTCCTCAACAAATTCAATGAATTCCCTATCCTGCCTCAAATTTTCTGGCGGGTCGCGGGTACCCGCATGCCCATGGGCTAAATTTGCGGGTAACCCGCACCCGGTTCAAAGGCAGGTGCAGGTACAGGTCGCCGTCAGCTTGCCCGCGGGCGACCTGTGGTGATCACTATTGCTGGCTGATTTATAGGACACTGACCTGGCGAGTGAGGACCAGCATTGCTGGCATTGGACATGTTGAATGAACACACACCAAGGTTCAGCACCATCACATCTAAATATTTATTGGCAGAAGACAAATAGGGGCAGTCAGAGTAGCAGATTATGGAAGGATTATGGGAATTATTTACACTGGTTGAAGCTTTCAAATTTTTGACTGAAAAAATGGGTGAAAAATGTTTTGAATTTTTACACAAGTTTTTCGACAAAAATTTCGGTGAAAAACTCAAGAGTTTGTCAGCAGTTTTCCATTAGTCTACAGCGAGTCTCATGCACGAATCCGCACCGGAGAGTTTGTAAGATCAAAGGACACTGATTAAGTGTCTTCCTCCAGTCGAGGTTCACATGCAGACACGGTCATGTGGAGTTATCTCCTTGTGGTGTCGAGCTTGCTTCCGGCAGTACCGTCGTTGGATGCGGAGTGTACAGATATCAAGAGCCAAAGGTCGCGATTTGTGGTTCCAGACCATGTCCCAAGGAAAAAGTAGTTACTCCTTACAGATAGCCTGGCCCCGAGTCGAACGGGGAACCTCCCACTTGAATTTCGGCGAAAGAAAAGGAATGTAGGCGCGGACCGCCCCGAGTCGAACGGGATAATCGCAGTGAAAGGAGGACAACCGGTTGCCGGACTGCGAGTAGAGATTTCTGTGGATGGCTCGATCCTCACAAAAAAAATATTCGAGCATTTCCACGGATAGCCTGGCCCCGAGTCGAACGGGGGCCTCCCACAGACCAATGTATCCACGAAGGCATGAATGAAATGTGGGTGCGGACCATCCGCCACCAGGCTTTCATTTCCCTACTTACGAGCCGTGATTCATGTCCAAGCTTTTGAGTTCAAGCAGCGAGCGGAGAAAAAAAGAAATGCAACCTAGACCTGCGAGGAATAATAGCCTAGCCCCGAGTCGAACGGGGACCTCCCACAGACCAATGTGTCAAGTCAGCCATGAATGAGATGTGGGCGCGGGCCGTACGCCACCAGGCTTCCTACCTCCCTCTCAGCCCCTCAACTCATGCCCAACTTTCCGGCAGCCCTCGTCTCTGCGTAGTTTCTCGCAAGCATTCATGTCAATGGATCTCCGCATGTAGATTCCCGGTACGCGTATTTTTCAGAGCTCTCGCAGATATATATATGTATATAATTGCTAGCACCCCGACCATTTGGAGTGGACGCACGGATTATTTATCCGACGGCAATCCAACGACGGCGCAAGACAAAAAGGTTCTTCCAGTTCGTCCAGAGCCTGGCCCCGAGGCGAACGGGGGCCTCCCAGAGACCAATGTATCTGGATGGTCAGCAAGCAATGTGGGTGCGGACCGTCCGCCACCAGGCTTACATTTCCCTACTTACGAGCCGTAATTCATGTCCAAGTTTAGAAGTTCAAGCGGCGTGCCAAAAAAGTGTACACTAGAGCTGTCAGGAGCAATAAAAATAAATAGCCTGACCCCGAGTTGAACAGGGATCTCCCACAGACCAATGTGTCAGGGAAGCGATGAATGAGATGTGGGCGCGGACCTTCCGCCACCAGGCTTCCTTCCTCTCCCAAGGCGCCTTTATCTATGGTCGACTTTCCGGTCTCCGCTTTTCTCTTTGAACTCGATTTATGAACCCGGCAATTCTTAGATCTGAGCGGAGTATGCGTGTTTTCAGACCGAACCTCCACCAGCTTACGGAGTCTCGGAGGTATTATGCTGAAAAGTTGAAGGAGGGTCCGGTCCGGGACTACATCCTTGATATTATGTAGTAGAAGTCCAAAAAAACGACTGGATCCGGTTATAGCCTGGCCCCGAGTCGAACGGGGACCTCCCACAGACCAATGCGTCTGGCCCGTTCATGCATGCAGTGTGGGTGCGGACCTTCCCCCACCAGGCTTTCATTTCTCTACTTAAGAGCCGTAATTCATGTTCAAGTTCAGCTGCAGAAGTCCACGTAGCGTGCAGAAGAAAAAACGTAAAACCCGTCAGGAGCAATAAAAATAAATAGCCTGACCCCGAGTCGAACGGGGCCTCCCACAGACCAATGTATCCGAGTTGCCGTCTATGCAATGTGGGTGCGGACCGTCCGCCACCAGGCTTACATCTCCCTAGTTGAGAGCCGTGATTCATGTCCAATTTGAGAAGTTCATGCAGCGTGCTGAAAAAAAATATACACCAGAGCTGTCAGGAGCAATAAAAATAAATAGCCTGACCCCGAGTCGAACGGGGGCCTCCCACAGAAGAATTTCTTTGGAATTAAAGCTGTAGCAAGTCTGGGTGCGGACCGTCCGCCACAGGCTTCCGTCCTCTCTCAAGGTGCCTTCCTTTATGGTCGATTTTCCGCCCTAGGAATTCCGTTTGTTGTATGAGCTTGATGTAAATGTCCATGCAGAAACTGTTCGCGGTCAAACTAGCGAGCGAGTTAAAACTAACGCGTCATGCACCCATTGGTGTTGCCGTGGACAATGGAAGGGAGGTCCGGTCCGGGAGTGTAGCCTTGATAATACGCAGAAGTCCAAAAAAACGATCGGATCTGTTTGTAGCCTGGCCCCGAGTCGAACGGGGAGCTCCCACACAAAGATTCCTACCGCGGGATTTCATGCCAGAATGTGGGTGCGGACCGTCCGCCACCAGGCTTTCATTTCCGTATGTAAGAGCCGTGATTCATGTCCAAGTTTAGAAGTCCACGCAACGTGCTGAAGAAAAATATACACCAGAGCTGTCAGGAGTAATAAATAGCCTGACCCCGAGTCGAACGGGGATCTCCCACCGAAAGTCTGTGCTACAGCGACAAACGAATGTGGGCGCGGACCGTCCGCCACCAGGCTCTCCTATCTCCCTCTCCGCCCCTCAATCCATGCACGACTTTCCGGTCTCCGCTTTCCTCTTTTCTCTTGATTTAAATTTATGAAGCCGGCAATTCTTAGATGTACGCAGAGTATATGTTAGATGTACGCAGAGTATACGCGTGTAGACCCACCCTCCGTTGGCCTGCGAAGGAGCGGAGGTGTTATGCTGGACGAGTTGATAGAGCTTTAAATTATACCGGCTTTGAACAAAAACAGAAGCTTTCTTGGGCCCTTCGGTGTTGCCGTGGAGGATGGAAGGGCGGTGCGGTCCGGCAGTGCAAAACGAAGAGTATAGTTACACTGCGCCATAGCCCGGCCCCGAGTCGAACGGGGACCCTCCCACATGAATTTCGGCCAGAGGAAAGGAATGTAGGTATGGACCGTCCGCCACCAGGCTCTCCGCCCCTCAATTCATGCCCGACGTTTGGGCAGCCCTTGTCTCTGAACGTAGTTTCTAGCAAGCATTCGTGTCAGTGGATCTCCGCATGTAGATTCCGGGTACGCGTATTTTTCAGAGCTCTCGCAGATATATATATATAATTGCTAGCACCCCGATCATTTGGAGTGGACACACGGATTATCTATCCGACGGCAATCCAACGACAGCGCAAGAGAAAAAAGGTTCTTCAGTTCGTCCAGAGCCTGGCCCCGAGTCGAACGAGGACCTCCCACAGACCAATGCATCTGGCCCGTTCATGCATGCAGTGTGGGTGCGGGCCGTCCGCCACCAGGCTCTCTTTCCTCCCAGATCAGCTGTTAGCAGATAGTGTTAGCAGATAGAACGAATTTGAGTGAGAGACAGAAGTCAATTGGTACTTTGGTCTGTCTTTACTACAGGTTTAAATACTACGAAGGTGAGTCACTAAATTATGAGTCATGTATTCTACGAGTCAACTATACTAATATCGAGTCAAGTAAGTACTGTGCGCAACTACGCATCAACTGCGAATAGGTACGCAAGGCTACGCATCAGCTGCGAACAGCTGCGTGCCGGTTCCGTGAGTGCCTAACCCATATTCGGCTTGCTAGGATTTTCACATCAGCATTGATTTATGTTGAGCTTTTGAGTCCAGCAACGAGCTGAGAAAGTGAAAAAAAGCAACCTAGACCTGCGAGGAGCAATAGCCCGGCCTCGAGTCGAATGGGGAGCTGTCACAGAAGATTGCAAGAGGGAAGGAATGTAGGTGTGGAGCGTCTGCCGCCAGGCTTCCTCCCTCTCTCAAGGTGCCTTTATTTATGTTGACTTTCCGGTCCCCGCTTTTCTCTTTGAACTCGATTTATGAATCCGGCAATTCTGAGATCTGAGCAGATGTATCATTTATGCAGAGTATGCGTGGTTAGACCCAGCCTCCGTTGTCCTGCGACGGAGCGGAGGTATTATGCTGGACGAGTTAATAGAGCTTTAAATTATGATGCCAGCTGTGAACAAAAACAGAAATATCCACGTGCATAGCCCGACCCCCAGTCGAACGGGGAACCCCACAGACATCGCGTGTATCTTCATAGTGCGGTGCGGACCGTGGCCACCAGGCTTTCGCCCGCTGGTTAAAAGCCTTGAGTTATGTTCAAGCCTTTTTCTGGAATTCAAGCTGAAAAAAACGTAGCTGCTGCAAACACTAATCATAGCCTGGCCCCGAGTCAACCGGGGAGCTCCCGCAGACTCATGCATCATCAATTATCTACGGGTGCGGGCGCGCACCGACCGCTACTAGGCTTTCCTCCCTTTCCGACCTAGCCTGAATCATGCAGGACTTTCCGCTCGAAGACGTCAGTTGTCTTGAAATTGATTTATCCAGGCAGACCTGGGACTGCGTAATTTCACAGCTGCACTCATTCCTAGCTGGCGAGTTATAATAACAGTAAAAGGTGAGGACGACCGGGTTCCCGACTGCGAGCAGAGATTTCTGTGGATGGCTCGATGCTCAAAAAACTGATTTCACACCATCTCCCCGTATAGCCTGTCCCCGAGTCGAACGAGGACCCCCACAGACCAAGTGTCTGGATGGTAAAGCAATGTGGGTACGGACCGTCCGCCACCAGGCTTACATTTACCTACTTAAGCGCCGTAATTCATGCCCAAGTTTAGGAGTTCATGCAGCGTGCTGAAGAAAAATATACACTAGAGCTGTCAGGAGCAATAAATAGCCTGACCCCGAGTCGCACGTAAGGCTGGACGATTATGATTAAATACGCTCTCAGCCTATAATGTAATATAATCGTAATATAATCTTAAGGATCTTGGGATATTTAATGGTAGCAGTATCATAATGTATTGTAATGACATTATAATGCTATTTAATCGTAATTAATGAATGGTAACACCCTCCAGGTAATCCAAACCTTCCCCGTACCCGGCATTCAGCAACTCCTTCAATTCATGTATCCTGCGCGCGAGCATCCCAACGGCCTCTGTCCCCTTGATTCCCTTCTGCGGGGAAAAGTGTTGAAATAAGCTCAGAAGGGTGAGAGTGTGCAAGAGGATTTATTCCTTTGCAAACCAGTGAAGTACTACAGGCTACTTTACATGCCTTTTATACTACTCGGAAAGGTGATTAGTAAGGTGTACAGTAAGCTATCAGTCAGCTTCGGGCATAGGGAGTATGCTAGAATGTTCCAGCCAAGAACCATTAGTAATGGTCTACGGCTTCATAATCCAACAAAAAGAATTCCAGATATGGGCAGACAAGATCAAGGCCATATTCGCCGCGGACGATCCGCCTCTGCAGCTCCTCTGGCGAGACTTGAAAGGCACGCTCCCACTGCCGGTTTGCCATGAAGGCCGCACCTTTCTCATATGCATCTATCGAGAGGTCGCCAAAATAGCGCAGAAGGTAAGAGTTGGTGTCCCCGAGGGGCAGGGAGGGCGGGAGGCGATCCGGGCCTTGAGGGCTTTCAGAAGAACAGGGAAGTGTTTGATGAGCTTAGAATCTTCAAGCATATCTCGAGGAGAGCACGGAGAGGAACG